AAATAATATGTAGTTTAACCGTGACAGCCGTTTTAATTTTCTGGTGTGCATGACACCTCATGTGTACCATATCAAATTTTTATGCAAGGTGTACAGTGAAGATTAACAAAGTTCGTAAATGATATTTTAATTTAAATAATTCCGTGTCCGAACAGAATTCAACGAATAATTTGCATAGCTGATTTAATAATAAATAATCGCGTTAAGGGACGTAAAGGATTTGTTTATTAGAGAAAGATGACTGAGACGCGTTCGCGGATAATCGTTTATTCGACGCGTTCGTTCGGCAGTCGACGTTTCACTGCCAAAAAAATCCAGGCCTCGACCGTGGGCTCTTGTCGTTCGTCGTTCGGCCACCTGAGGAAATGACGCCTCGTGCTGCGGGCTCTCGAACTTCGCGCCATCACCTCTCATTGGTCAGTGTTTTTCGTTAATAACTCGTAAACAAAGTCGCAGATTGCATTTTCGCAAAGGAAAAAGTTATTTCAAATGACCTCAGCTAGCCCTCATTTTCGGCTGTTAAAATAATTGTAGAACACCTTATATTATAAACTAAACTAGCCTAGCAAAGACCATCGTTTAAGAGCTACAAGCTGTCTGAAACAGTTCTTCAGAAAACAAAGTTCTTGATATTATAAATTTAAAAGAAAATCTGCAAATTTACATGGATTATTTACTAAAAAATTATTCAATAAAAGCATCTTTTTAGGTAAAAATTGTTTATATTACGGATATACTGTATTAATTTTTCAAAATATCTAATTAAATCAAGAATCAGAATTTATTAATATAAACTACTAATTATATTACCAATCAAAAACTGCAAATAGATTAGTTTACCAAAGAATATCTTATATGTAAGGTTAATTATAAACATTCCTGTAACACTTAAGATATGGTCCTCATTAGAGTAGAAATATTAAGTACTATTCATTTTTCTTGCATATAGCGAAGATCTTTCTAACTAGAGATAGATATATAATTTTTTGAACGTGTCTCTACAAAACTGTAAGTATTATATTCATAATATGTAATACAATTTAATTTTAACAATGAAAACATAGAATATAAATTATCCAATATTCAAAAAACACATTTGTGGTAGAAAATGTACTTACAGTTGTGTGAGGAATAAAATCACTTACAAAATTAAAACTGTACAGCAAATTCAGATTTAGTTTGGACTACTTACTTAAATGCTTTACTTAAAGTTCCTAATGCTACATCACTTGTGTCAATTTCAAGTTGATGCGAATCAAGACTTATCAGGAACGTGTCCTAAACATAAAAATAATTATGTTGTAATTAACATATAAGTATAATTAGATAACATTGCTACAATGACAAAGATTAAATAAAATTGAAATATTTGGAAAAAATGTTAAACATACCGCATCAGCTTTACATACTGTATTCGCCATTTGCCTACACAAAGTCCGTAAATAATTTGTTTTATTTACTTCTTCATCAGTAATCGTAAATGAAAATAGCTTTTCTTTTAACTCCTGATTACTTCTCACCATTAAGGCAAATACTTTATGACATTCTGCAAACGTAACTATTTAGTACATACTATACGTAATATTTCATGTAAAAAGAATTCAAAATTTCAGATTAGCATACCGTCAGTTTCTCGTATGTCCACAACTTTTTTTATTGTACTGAGTGATAACATTTTAATATGTTTATATGGTTTTCCTTGACTTAATTTGGTTGCATGCAATCCGTTTGCTGTATTAGGACTTTTTAATGAATTGAAGGCTTTTGATCTTTTTTTACATATCTCGAGTGTATCAGTGAACAGAAATAAGACTAAATGATCACCACGCCCACTCAAACCTTCACTAAGTTCCATCACATCGCATTTACCAATAAATGATCGATGTGAGGAAACTAAATGCGGCGGACAATTATCAATTTCATTAAAAATGTCGAACATAACTAATTGACCTTCGGTTTTTCTTTTATCTTCATTTATGTACGTCATGACTTCCTTAATACTGCTAATTGATAACTCCAATGCGCTATGATCTGGATTATTTTTATTTGTATGTTTAAGGATATCTGTAGTAAATCATAGAAGCATTAGAATAAGATTATAATTAAGTATCTAATAATAATTAAAGTACTTACCATTTAATAATAGACTAATACTGGGTAACCTTTGTACTGGTTTAATCAACAACTCCTTCAAACTTTGTCGGCCACATTCAGGTTTTGTCTGACAAACCTTCAAAAAGGCATGAAATCGCGGTTTATTTTGATCACATTGGTCGAGCATTTCCTTTGTATTTTCGAAGAAGTTGACATACGGTGGATATGCCTTGACTAGGTCTGGTGCAAACTTTAGAAATATATTGCCTATACTAATGTCCTCCATCCAGTGTGTTGCACTATATCTTAATTCTTCTAACATCTTTTTATGAACGTCATAAATAGGTGGAAAATTACCAAATATAATTTTAGCTTCTGTACCGTTTAACAACTCGCCACTTGTATCTATGAGATCTTCTAATGGTGATTTGAACAACTAAAAAGAGTTGAATATATCAATTTACTGTGCATTCTAACATAAGACATGATGAAGATACACTTACCGTCATAATTGTACTGAGAATGCCAACATAATTCGACTCAGTTTGCACTAACTCTAAGAAAACTTGATGACGAGGTGATAAATTTTTTCTAGAGCTATCAGTATTCACAGCTTCCACTTCTGGAATATCTGGTAGTTATCAATAATTCAAATTTACGTTATCTTCCCCTTGATATGGTTCATATAAATATTTACCAATTGTTAGCAGGATTAAACTTAATAATTTTGATTATATATATTGTTAGTATAATAATATTGATAAAAAGTAAGTAATTAAAAAAAATATACCAATCCACTAAGCAAAATAAATGAACCACAAAAAAAGGGAAGATGTATATTTCGACAGTTAAAAAGATTAAGTTGATTATGTTAAATTAGTTTGTGTATGACAGTCAGTAATTGTAAGAAATGATATTTTGGAAATATTACATTTTAAAAATGAAATAATAGAAGCGAAATTTACTTAAAAGCCAAAGAACTAACCATCAAGTAATGGCTTATCTGGGCTTGCTGTGCAATCAAGAAAGCTTCCACTAACACTCAAAAGACCGGCATCACTAATGCTGGATCGCCTTTTATGTAGAGCTGGTGAATCTGCTCCGTTTTGAACCAAACTAGACAAAGTTTCTGCTAGTCGTTTACGTTTTCGTCTTGTAGATGCTGTGCTTGGAGTAGTTGTTTGTTGGCTATCACGTCTAGATGATATCGTTGGCGATAGAACAGATTCCAAATACTGAACATAAAATCAACTATTAAACACTAAATTTATTTAATAATCTGAATACACTTACATCTTCAAATAAATATTCCTTTTCATCAGCCGCACCCTCATTTTGCACAGATGTCCAAAACCATTCAGCTTTTACGATATGAGCTCTTACAGAAGCCAAATCCGGTAATGCATTCACATTTGATTCATCCACAACCTAAAATATGAGTAATTTATAATTTTTCAATAATTTACAGCTTTTTAGACACTGATACACATAACAGATACAGTCACTTTTTAGTTTCTTTTATACCAGTAGTCTAACAGAATAATTAGAGTAATACAATACACATCATAAAATAGAGCAATAATATTTGTGAAGAACAAAATATTATGTGCAATAATAATATGAGGATATTAGATTACTGTCACATATCACGGTAACATCTGCAAATATGCAGTTTAGCACGACACAAAGATGACATCACAAAAATAGAACAGTTTACTATGCTAAACCAATAAATATGTATAAACTACATGTAACAAAAACATTTATCAATAAATACCCTCTATTTCCCTTTCAAATCCTAAGTTTTATAATTTCTCTACACCTACAAGTCCCATTAAAAAAGTGAAAGTACCGAGAATAATTGTGTGTCCTCTGATTGTTCACATTTTACATAATCATCTTCTGAATCACAAGTTTTAGAAGAAAGATTCAAATATTTTCCGCAAGATGTAAACGTACTTCTCAAACCATATTCAGTACTTGATAACTTTGCTACCTTTGCAAGTACAGGGAGAGGACTTGGCAAGGGAGTATATTTCTGTCTCGGATGAGTTTCTAGAGTCTTTTTGGAAGGACTAACTACATACTGTTTAAATAATGGCAAATTTATATGGCTAAGCTTTGACAACATAGATGAACTCAATTTACGTGTATTCAAAAAACTTTTTTTCTTTGTCATTGGTGTTAGAGGGTTATGTAAAAGAGAATCATTAAGTTCCGCGTCAAATCGTCTAAATAAATTAGGGTGAGAATAAATTCTTTTAAATTTAATTTTGTCTGGAGAATCAATTTTATGAATTGCAACGCAAGACTTTACTTTTCGCCATTTAATATACCGTCTAGGAGTTATAATTTTCCTATTAAGAAAAAGAGAGCTCTGCGAATACTGTGCATTTTTGCAAGATTTCAACAATTGTGACTTGGTATCAAAATGGTGATTATTTGCATATGGAATAATTCTTTTTTTACAGAGTGTAGAAGATTGGAAGTTATGAGGCCTCAATTCATCCTCTACATTTTCATTACCAGTATTATCACATGAAATATCAGATATAGTATCTTCTGGCTTCTTTGCGTTGTTAGCTAATGAAGATAAAAATATAGAATCCAATGTCGTAAGTATTGCAGGAAAATTAGTTTGTTCTGATACAATTAAACCTCTTGCTTGAGTTTTGTTGTAAGAGTTCTTTGTTGAAGACATATCAATGCCTGAATCTGCTCGTGGAATAGAAAATTCAGACATATAAGACTCATCTGGTAAATTTGTACCATCACAGAAATTATCATCCATACAAATAGCCGAGTCTTGACTAATATTATCTGAATTGGAATAATTAAATTTACTTTCTTTGTAGTCTAGAGACTGTGGCAAAGAAGAAGACAAACGATGCAAGAAATATTTAGTGTTCAATTTTGTTGACATTTTCGCGTAATTAATATTGCAGGTATGTGATAAATTTACTGTTTTTGTGTTAGGGATAGTATTAGTATATGGATTGTAAAAGGTAAAGGAAAATGGTTTTGTTTTTGTGTAATAGTGTGGAATGTAATTAGGATTTTTAGTGTATGATAGCATGTCAAAAGCATTGTTGCGTTTCTTGTATTCACCACTTCCTACATCTGTTACCTAAAGAATATGATCATTTATACATTAAGTATTTGTCTATTAAATGTAAAAGTTCGTGTTACACACTGAAAATAATATACGTTAGATAAGAAATATTTTACTTGTAACTTACCACATGTGTACAATTTGGATCGTCAATTTCAGTAGATTCACCACCTTGTTGTTGCAAAACTTCACACATGTGACGTTTTTCTTCTTCGGGGAAACCAAAGAAACATACTTTTGCACCAAAAAATGGCTTCAGCTTATAAGTAGTGATCTGCATAATAAACCAGTTTTTAGAATAACATATAAAGATACACTAGTAAACATTTTTAAAAATGAGGAATATATAAAATAATCAAAACAAATATATCATAATTATTGTAGATGGTAATATTACCAGTTCTTCACTATTTCCATAAATGAAAATATCGTTTTTGGCATTCCATAAAGCTGTCACCCAATCCATAGACATTACTGGTACCCGAAATGTGACAGCATATCTATACTTATCTCCACCGCAACAATTAGCAATGAGATGCGTCACTTTTGCACCCATTTCTTTTCTAATACTTCCACCCATGTTATGGATCATGTTGATCAATTTAGTCTGTAAAGGGAAGGATAATATCATAAAATTATTTTGTATTTATATTTTATGGTATAATAAATACAAATTTAAAACTTAACACTAACCAATTCATCCTTTTTCCTAAATCCAGTAAATACTACCACCATGCCTACCATAGCTTGTGTATACATAGGTCTGTTAATACTAGGTAATGTGTCCTTTCTTTCTGCCAATTGCAGAAGCGCCGTCGGTCCCAATATTCTAAAATTTGATTAATTAAAACAACCAAAAGTCAGATTCTTTTGATGAATTTTTTACAAATTAGGAAATATATGAAGCAAATTATGACAAACCTATGAGCACTTTTATGGAGAGCATCATATTCAGGTCCCTCAAACTGTTTTAATATAAAATAAGTACAATATGTTGTATCTTCTACATATTCTAAACCAGTTTCTGATTTAAGGACAGGTACACTAAACTGCTGAGCAGCAGCACCAAGTGCAGGATCATCTCCAGCTGCACCAATTAAGCATATTCGCTTTTTACGTGGAATAATTACAGCTGTCAAATAAAAAATATTCAAGTTGAATATTATTACAAATTACCATTATTATTGTAATAAATTTCTTAATAAACAAAATACCTTTTTTTATCAATTATATCATTAAATTAATTCAATTTTAATTAAATGCTTTTTAAAAAATAAGTTTAATTGTTTCAAATTAATATGGAGTACTTTAAATTTTTTACAAAATCTTCAAATATAAAATATATATTTATATATAAAACCAAATAATTTATATTAGAACTAATTATATTGCAACTAATAACAAGTTATAAAAGTCATTAAATATATTTTATAGAAATAATAACATTCG